CCTATTTTTTCTCATCCCGAGATGGTAAGAAATTGTCTCCTAGTCAAATGACAAAATATTTATCTCAGTTCGTGAATCAAGCAGACCCTGGTAAGAAATTTTTGGCACATGACACCAGGAAATATGCAGGGTCTGGGGCCTTTCTGCGGCATATGAGCCTCAGTCAGATCAAACAAGTGGGCTTTTGGAGATCTTCAAAAACTTTTAAAGACTGCTATCTTCATCTATCTCTGAAAGATGCTTCACATGTGGTGGTGCTGGGGTCCCGTCCCTCACCTCGTCAATCTTCACAACCAGGACCTTCTTCCTCATCAGAATAAAGTGAGTATCCTCTTTGAGATATGTAAATTAACATTTTACCTTCCGGTAAATGTTCCTATTATTGGAAAATATTCCAAACGGTTTATAATCATAATCTGGACCTAAGACAGCGGAGCCTTGTATGCAACATCAGCTCCCTCTCCACCTCCTGCTCGGGTATTCAAGCTAGGCGTCACATTCTGGATTGAACAAAAAGCCTTTTTTTCTAAAAACCAGTTTTTGTGATATAGTCCAGAATAGGACGCCGATAACCCACCCATCTCCACCCCTCGAGAGTTGACTTTTGTTTACTGCTCGCTCTAAGGCAAGAGATGATGGTGGCAGTGCGTGTGATGGAGGGTGAGGGAGGGGGTTTTGAGAATTGCAATTAAATTATTAGATGTTTTAATTGCCTGTATGTTGGCCTGGCGAGTTATTGTTAGGCATTAACATACCTAGGTATAAGCTAGGCGTTACATTCTGGACTATATCACAAAAACTGGTTTTTAGAAAAAAACGGCTTATTTTATGCATTACTTGCTCTACCAAACACAAAGAAAGCCAGGCAGACGGGCGATCGATTGGTGAGTGTTGCCAAGTACTTTTTTATGAAAAATTATGCAAATAAAAGATTCTAAATGAATTATTTATAGCAAATAAGTATTAAGATCAGTAAATACATACATTATTGGCCACTTCAGACACAAAGGTGAGCTAAAAATAGCTGCTAAGTGCAGAGGGACCACTAGCGTCAGCTGTCAAACCAACACTGTCTCCTTATCTCTCCCCCTCCTCCCTCCCTCCCTCTGCGAGGCCAGAGAAGTTTCTAAAGGGTCATTACCTGTATATAGTTTTTCTTACTTATTTTTTATGGTTTTCTTATTTTAAAAAGTTTAACATAATTTTTGGAAAATTTGATTATTCTCGATTTACCCCCAGGTGGGAGGTACTGCCACCAGCACCCTTACCCGGGGCTTAAGGGTTAATAAATATATATAATACAGTAAAGTATTCCCTTCAAATTCGCGAGGGTCAGGTTCTCAAAATGGCCGCGAATCGCCAAATCCGTGAATAACATTTGCTGACCATTTTTTTTTTTTTGGTGGGGTGTTACATTTTTACTTGTGTACAATGAAATGTATATTCCATTTAAGTGTTTTCCCTTATGACAATTATTTCTTTTACCTGTATTGTATATATGTGTGTAGGCACAAACACACACAAAACACATACGAATAAATAATAATGGGAAAATCCTCTCACAAATAATCATAAGCAAATGTAGTACAGCTTGTACCTCTCTAGTCCGGCATTCTGTGGTCCGAAACCTGTCCGAACGATTTTTGTTTGTCCAATAGGTAGATAGGCAGCTTTTTTTTTTTTTTAATCTTGATTATTATTATTATTATTATTATTATTACAGGAGTATTAAATTTTTGCCCCTCAGGCCCCAATGTGGGTCAGTGACCTATGCCCGGGTGGGCTAATCCCCTTAAAAAAAAATAAAAAAAAAACACGGGAAATTAAGGTTTGTTTACATCCAGCAGTTCGGCTGCTCTCTCTCTCTCTCTGCTTGTCTATACAGAGTACAACAATTAACCCTTCAATATATATGAGCAGTAAATAAGTGTTGCTTTCATATTCTTATGTAGAGTAATGACGATATGTTTTCACATGTGCGCACTTACATACGCTCAGTCTCACTTTTTTTTTTTACCATTAATGGTTAGCTACTTATATTGTTCCATTTATTAACATTAAATAACATTACAGGTACTTCAAACAACCATATTAATTTTTTTTACATTAATTTTACTACAGCTAAATCAGGGTCTTATTTTCTTCAGTTTTATATGTAGAACCAATCAGTCACTGGTTTTGTAAGCTTTAACATAAACAATGCCGGCAGCCGTCTCGTCTCCTCATAATATTCCACGTATTATTAATAAATTGTATTGTTAATTTTGCACACACAAACATAATTCAATAAAAAGAAATTCAGAAACATTAATTAAAATATATATGAACAGTAAATAAGTGTTGCTTTCATATTCTTATGTAAAGTAATGACGATATGTTTTCACGTGTGCGCATGTGTTCTTACATACGCGATCTCTCTTTTTTTCTTTACCATTATCGTTAGCTACTTCTATTGTTCCATTTATTTCCATTTACAGACAGACCCCGACTTACGACTGCTACGACTTACGACCGTCGGGACTTACGACCGCCGCAGATTTTTTATTAAAAAAAAAAAAAATTTTTCAAATGACACGCATTTTCTATACAGAAACGTTTCCAGTTAATGTAGTCTCCATGTATGATTAGAAAATTATGGGGGCCCAATGTGCATTCAGCTGACTACATTAAAGGTAAGTGCTGTCACACTGTAACCATTCCTTATTACTTTCACTGTACTGTATCCATTCCTCATTATTCATTACTTTTACTGTACTGTATTTCATTGTAGATTATTTATTAAAAAAAAAAAAAAAATAATAATAATAATAATTTTTATCTATGTCGGACTTACGACCATGTCGGACTTACGACCTGGATTTGGGTCCCTAACCCCGTCGTAAGTCGGGGTCTATCTGTATTAACATTATATAACATTACCTAAAACAACCATATTAATTTTACTACAGCTACAACCAAGGTCTTATTTTCTTCAGTTTTATATGTAGAACCAGTCAGTCACTGGTTTTGTAATCAACGAAAACAATGTTGTGTCATTTCCTCGTGTGTTTTAATATTCTACGTATTACTAATGAATTGTATTGCTCATTTTGCACACATAAACATTAATTCAATAAAAAAGACATTCAGTAATAAACAATAATGAATCTTTTGTACACAAGAGAAATGATGCTGTTTGCACGATTATGCCCGTCGTCTGCACGTTGGGGCCGTTCAAACCCATCGAAATTCAAGTTTCCGCCGTCAAAATTTTTATTTATTTATTTTTTTGTGTGTTCCAATAAAATACGTTAAGAATTAAAAACTCGCGAAATTTGAGAAGCTACTATATGACATTTAACCCTTCAATATGTCTTAAAAGAGACCATGATGCAGAGAAAGTGGTGCTAGTGCTTCCAAGCATAAGCACAAGTCACTATCTATCCAGGAAAAGGGTGAATTTCCATGGTCCGGCACCGGTCAGGTCCCGAGGTTGCCGGACTAGAGAGGTACAACCTGTATTGAAAATTTTGAGTCTACCCTCAAGTCTACTCTGTGCTTTGTTATTAATAAATCATGGAGTAGACTTGAGGGTAGACTCAACATTTTTAATACTACATTTACTTATGATTATTTGTAAGAGGATTTTCCCATTATTATTTATTCGTATGTGTTTTTTGTGTGTGTGTCTACACACACACACACACACACACATATATATAAATACAACACAGGTAAAGAAAATTACCGTGTCTAAAAAAATGACACCCTGTCCCAGCCGAGTAAATGCCGGCAACTTTAAAACTACCTGCAGACATTCTTGGGTACATCCAGGGTGTCATCCGCGAATAATAGAGGACCAAGAAATCAAAATCCACAAATTATCCAGGCATACTGTACTGCATATTGGTATGTATTTTTCTTATAATGAAGGCCTACAGGGTAGTTGGATACGCCATATGAATAAATTTTTAACACTTTGTCATATTTGACGGACAGCATATGCACATCAAATCAAATCATAGCCACAATCATTTTTAAGCATAATTGCATCAACAGGCATGCACAACGCCTGCTGGCATGAAATATATTTCCCATATACGCATTTAATTATATGAAAACCATCATTATTTGGATTTTTCCTACACTGTTGCCTTCAATGTGATGTTTACCTTATGCATGAACTGATAATAATTAAAAAAATAAAATAAAAAAGGAAGATATACGAGTGGAACATAGAAGTTGTAAAACACTGTTCAGGTGTGTGGAATCAATCATCATGTAGACTGGGACCTTGGCTTGTCCAATGCTACAGGGTAAACTTAAAAACATACAAGTCAAAATCCTGAACTCTGATCTAGAAGAACTGAGAAATGCAGAGACCTTGAAACCATTCGTTGTTAAGAATCTCAAGGCAATCACTAGCTGATGAATGGGATGTAGAGGTGAACCATAGCCAACAGGTCTGTCAAGCAGATGCTCTATATCATGGAAAATATCAAGGAAAACTTCCTTGCTGAACCCATATTGTCGTCTGAATTAACTGTCATAAAAATTTATAGGATTCTGTCATTCTACCATCAGTCTTCTCTCTACAAAATTTCCAATTTGACGAATTATGCGCTCTGTCAAAATTCATGTTGACTTGTTATCTTGAATGACAGATAGACCGCATAACCTGCCTCCAGGCTGGATTAAAGCGAGGATCGACATATCTAATCTCAAACCCGGTTTGAATCTTTGTGTTGGCTGAAGCCAGCATTCTGAATACCAATAATCTTCAATCTTCACTCGATGCTTGATTTAAACCTTTATGCGGTTTCAAACCACCGTTCTGAATTTGGGCCTATGAGTTTAACATATTTCAGTACATCATAATCATGAGCAAAATATTAGTATTTTTTTCCTGTTACAGTAGAGAAAAAATTATTACACAAAGTAACTCATGGTGACAAAGCATATAAAAAGGTGAAAAGAAAGTAGTGAAAAATTCTATACAGGGTATTAATAATTTGAACCCATCACTTGAATATTAAGGCAATCTTCACTACCTGGTACTGAGAGTAAAGAGCCTTCAGTGTTGTCCAAGCTGCAAGGCGTTTAGTGAGGTAGGTGGCCATCCAGCGCACACGTCCTGACAATGGCGCCTGAGTCCCAGGCCGCTCTATCTGCTGCTGTGCCTGTAAAACAGCTTGCTTAGTACAACCTTTTCAACAAATAAAAAGTGAAGGGATAGATCAGTAAATACAGTAGTACCCCGATTTTACGCGGTCAATTGAACCCACAGGGTACCGCAGAAAGTGAAAACCACGTAAAGTGAACAACAGAACATATGGGATTAATTCCAATAGAGACTGGCCCGACCCCCAAACTCCACTTTTTCCGACACAATACCTATGTTGTAGTAAAAATAACATCTAAATTTTATGATGGTATGCTCACACAATTAATATTTAAGAGAAATACAGTCGCCAGGTTAATGTCCATTCAAATAATGGACTCAAATCCCCCACCCCCTCTTCCCAGCTCACTAGCTCCTACCTCTCTGAGAAATGATTGGGTGAAAACACTAGATTTTAACGTTTAGTAATAAATAATACCTCAGACTAAAGTTAGGATAATATAATTGACATTTCTGGATTCCTTGCAGGTCAGGGAATATTTTGAATGTAAACTTCATATATTTTGCACAGAAGATAAAATATTTGCTTTGTGTAAACCAAATTATTACAAAAGATCTAAAATTTGTATGTCTAATGCAAAATCCATGATGTTTATATTCAAAATGATCATCATATTGTAAGAATTCCAGCAATGTAAATTATATTCTGGCTGAATAATTTGTATGAATTTTATGAGCTAAAACAAATATCTTTCAGGTAATAAAAAAATATTCTTTCACACACTATCTGTCAATCAAAGTACTCCCACCTTGCCTCCCCCTCCTCACACTTCACGCCCAGCTGGGTCGGCCGGGTCGGTCACAACCCCCCTGGTTCCCTCCCTACCAGAGAAATGTTTTGGTGAAAACTAGATTTTAACTTTTTAGTAATAAATAATACCTCAGACCAGTTAGAATTGATATTTAAAAAATATTTGCTTTGTGTAAACCAAATTATTACAAAAGATCTAAAATTTGTATGTCTAATGCAAAATCCATGATGTTTATATTCAAAATGATCATCATATTGTAAGAATTCCAGCAATGTAAATTATATTCTGGCTGAATAATTTGTATGAATTTTATGAGCTAAAACAAATATCTTCAGGTAATAAAAAAAAAATATTCTTCACACACTATCTGTCAATCAAAGTACCCCACCTTGCCTCCCCCCCCTCCTCACACTCACGCCAGCTGGGTCGGTCGGTCGGTCACAACCCTCCCCCCCCCACCTTCCCTCCCTACCAGAGAAATGTTTTGGTGAAAAAACTAGATTTTAACTTTTAGTAATAAATAATACCTCAGACTAAAGTTAGGATAATATAATTGACATTTCTGGATTCCTTGCAGGTCAGGGAATATTTTGAATGTAAACTTCATATATATTGCACAAAAGATAAAATATTTACTTTGTGTAAACCAAATTATTACATTAGATCTAAAATTTGTATGTCTAATGCAAAATCCATGATGTTTATATTCAAAATGATCATCATATTGTAAGAATACCAGCAATGTAAATTATATTCTGGCCGGGTAATTTGTATGAATTTTATGAGCTAAAACAAATATCTTCAGTAAATAAAAAAATAAAAAAATATTCTTCACACCGCGCCAGATGGTCGGTCGGTCCCTCCCTCCCCCCCACCGCCCACCAACCCTCCCTACCAGATGTGTGGGAAAACCAGAATATTTACCTTTTAACTAATAAATAATACCTCAAACTAAACTTAGGATAATATAATTAACATTGCTGGATTCCTTGTAAGACCAGGAATATTTTGAATATAAATGTCATATATTTTGCACAAAAGATAACATATTTACTCAGAGTAAACATTATATCTAAAATTTGTATGTCTAATGCAAAATCTATGATGTTTATATTCAAAATGATCATCAAATTGTAAGAATTCCAGCAATGTAAATTATATTCTGGCTGGGTAATTTGTATGAATTTTATGAGCTAAATAAAAAAAATAAAAATATTATACTTCACAGCGTATATGAGTAGATGAACCTCATTAAGTGAAAGTTCGGTTCTGGCGAGGCACCGCGTATATGAGAAATCGCGTTAAGTGAAACCGCGTAAAGCGGGGTAATACTGTATATGTATATGTATATGTATATGTATATGTATATATATATATATATATATATATATATATATATATATATATATATATATATATATATATATATATATATATATATATATATATGGACTTATATGGACTTATATGGACTCTGAGGGGTTTGACAAAGAGGCCCAGCAAGCCTCTGTGGTGGATAGTGATACAATTGATACAAGTGATACAGGCGAGGGCCAATAATCTGTCCTCTTGCTCGGAACCAACCCCCCATCCCCGTGTGCCCAGCCATCTTTTCTACTAATGTAAGTGTTAAAAAACCTAATATTATTGAAATTTCTCTTAATTATTAATTGTGTGTGCATACCATCATAAAATTAAGAAGTTATTTTTACTACAACGTAGGTATTGTGTCTGAAAGTAAGTTTGGGGTTAGAACCGGTCAGTATTTCAATTAATCCCATATGTTATGTTTCTCGCTTTTACGTACCTGTGGTTCAATTGACCCGAAAGCGAGGTTCACTATATATATATATATACTTGACTAGCTTTCGCTTTATGTTCCTGAATAAAGACGGTTAATACCTGCTGTTTCCATTTTCAGTGATTTTATCAAGACCCATCTTTTATCCACGTTTCATTGTGGATTTACATGAAATATATATATATATATATATATATATATATATATATATATATATATATATATATATATATATATATATATATATATATATATATATATATATATATATATATATATATATATATATATATATATATATATATATATATATATATATATATATATATATATATATATATATATATATATATATATATATATATATATATATATATATATATATATATATATCTGATTGAAATAAGCGTTTTATTCAAGACATCTTCAGAGGCAACTGCCTCTGAAGATGTCTTGAATAAAGACCTAAAGCTATGAATTGCTATCTCCATTTTCCTGTGATTTTATCAAGATTATCTTATCCACCAGAGCTGAACTTTCACTTCTAACGCGGTTTTTCCAACGATACGGTGAGTGTCCGCTCGAGACGCTATTTTAGATTTGCCCCACCCGCCACCGCCACCCTGCCTGTTTTAGCTCATAAAATTCATACAAATTACCCGCCAGAATATAATTTACATTGCTGGAATTCTACAATATGATGATCATTTTGAATATAAACATCATAGATTTTGCATTAGACATACAAATTTTAGATGAAATGTTTTCTCTGAGTAAATATGTTATCTTTTGTGCAAAATATATGACATTTATATTCAAAATATTCCTGGTCTTACAGGAATCCAGCAATGTCAATTGTATTATCCTAACTTTAGTTTGAGGTATTATTTATTAAAATTTAGTGGTTTTCCCCAAAAATTTCTCAGGAGGAAGAGCCAGCAGTGTAGTGTGGAGAAGAGGGAGAGTTGAGTCCATTATTTGAATGGACATTAACTTGCGACTGTATTTTCATTTCTCTTAAGTATTAATTGTGTGCATGTACCATTATAAAATTAAGATGTTATTTTTACTACAACATAGTTATGTCACAAAAAGTGGAGTTTGGGGGTCGGGCTGGTTTCATTGGAATTAATCCCAGATGTTCTGTTGCCCACATCCAGTCACTTAACACGGTACCTCTGGGTTTATATATATATATATATATATATATATATATATATATATATATATATATATATATATATATATATATATATATATATATATATATATATATATATATATATATATATATATATATATATATATATATATATATATATATATATATATATATATATATATATATAAAAGTTCACTAAGTAATAAAAACCCAGAGGGTACTGTGTTAAGTGAAAACTGCTACATATAAAAAAATATATATATATATATACAGTATATATATATATATATATATATATATATATATATATATATATATATATATATATATATATATATATATATATATATATTTCATGTAGATCCACAATGAAAACGTGGATAAAATAAATCTTGATAAAATCACACGGGAAAAGGGAAACAATGGAGCACCTTACCTTTCGTCTTTATTCAAGACATCTTCAGATGTCTTGAATAAAGTAGTTCAAAAACTCAGATCCTTCCAAGGAAAGGTCCTCTTAATTACACCATATTATATCCTACATCCGTGGTGTCTGGATCTGTTAGAATGGTGCTCGCATCCACTACAATTGCAACAAGGATGTCTAGACCAGGTACTGCACCCTCAGTTCGAGATATCCTTGACACTTCACGCTTGGAGTTTCTCAAAAGATGTTTAAATAGATTGTTGAATAATTCCAATATACTGTAGTTAACCAAGTGACAGCAGGTCATAGACTCCAAACTTCTATGCAATATGAGAAAGCTTGGAAACTTTTTCAACAATTTATCAGGTTAACGACTCCAATCACATTGCCAGAAAAAGTGGTGTTAGAATTTTTAGATTTTCTGTTCAGAGTTAAAGGCCTTCAAGGATCTACAGTTGTATCTTATAAATCAGCATTGGTTGACCTTCTGGCATGGGGTTTTAATATTAGTTTGAACCCCAGAATTTATCAAATGCTCAGATCATCCTTTTTCATTCAAAGACCCCCTCGGCCTAAGAGAAACCCACCTTGGTCTCTAGATAATGTTACGTACTAAATTTCTTATGGGGCCTAATTACAATATAAATCTGAACTGGGACAGATTGCTCCAGAATGCAGCCTTCCTTCTAGCAATAGGAAAAGGTATGAGAATCAGTGAGCTGATTTCAATTTCCAATAAACCATCATTATTGGTATTTTCTGAGAAAGATGTCGCCCTTTTTCCTACGGACATTATAAGAAAAAATGAAAGGGAGGATTTTCAAGCTCAATCTATGAGGATGAAACTGCTAATGGATGAGACAAGGGTTCCTGATATATTGTGCCCAGTTAAGATTCTTCAAGAATGGTTAAGCAGTTTCCCTAATCGAGGCCCCTATGTATTCTCATCACAGGATCGTAAGAAATTGTCTCCTATTCAAATGACAATATATTTTTTCTTAGTTAGAGAGTCAAGCAGACCTTGGCAAAAAAATTTTGGCACATGACACCAGGAAATATGCAGGGTCTGTGGCCTTTCTGCGGCATATGAGCCTCAGTTAGATCAAAGATGTTGGCTTTTGGAAATCATCAAAAACCTTTCAAAACAGCTATCTTCACCTATCTCTGAAAGATGCTTCACATGTGGTGGTACTGAGGTCCCCTCCCCCACCTAGTTACTCTCCACAACCAGGACCTTCTTCTTCCTCATGAGAATAAAGTGAGTATCCTAATTGGGATATGTAAATTAACATTTTACCTTCCAGTAAATGTTCCTAATATTGGAAAATATTCCAAAAAGTTTATAATTATAATCTTGACCTAAGCTAGCGAAGCCTTATACGCAATGTCACCCCCCTCTCCACCTCCTGCTCAGGTAATCAAAGCTAGTCGTCACAATCTGGATTGAACAAAAAGCAGTTTAAAAAAAAAACCAGTTTTTGTCATACAGTATAGTCCAGAATGCAACGTCGACATGCCACCAATCTCGAGTTGACATTTGTTTACTGCTCACTCTAGGGCAAGAGATGACGGTAGCAATGCGTGTGATGGAGGGTGAGGGAAAGGGTTTTGAGAATTGCAATTAAATGCCAGGTAGCGACGTGTCCTCCTAATATTACGTATTTAGTAATTATTAGATGTTTTAATTGCCTGTATGTTGGCCTGGCTAGTTTTACAAAAAAAAATGGCTTTTCGTTTGTATACCAAAGTGCTGGAACATTATTTTTTCACAAAAGCAAAGTTCCATAAATCAAAGGACTCCTGTATATCAAAAAATCCTTAGTTAACAAAAAGAACATTGTACTGTATTTTTCAAAACCAACAAAAAAAAATTACTGCATCAGTTCTCTTTCTGACCTTGAAATCAGCTCTGATGCCCTTCACCTCAGCAGCAAAAGCAGAGAGGAGGTCAGGGAGACGAGAGATTAGCATCTGACGGAACTTTTCTCTACATGGCTCCTTTTGCAGCACACCAGCAACTGCTGTTACCAGTTCTGATGTCCTAAAAAAGAATACCTTTGGTTATTCTATATACATCTACATTTTTATGAAATAAGGTGCAGCATAGCCTACCTGAAATTTTAATTTCTAAATGTAAAAGTAACCAGCTGATTTCATTCAGTGTATTTTATTTTCAAAAATAAGCATAATTATAGTTATATTTCTATCATACAGGTCAATTTAAATTAACATTTATACAGTATTAAGAATGTTAGCAGCTAGCATACAAATGAAGGCAAACACAGCAGTGATAGTGATGGTGATCATCATCATGAACATCACCTTTTTACAACCATTTTTTATGCTTGCACAGGTTAGCCGGAATTTCCAGATGCCATTGTGTCACACTTGCCATCAGGCACACCCAACAAAAACATTATTGTGCCCCTTGGGGTCCAATGGATCTGGGAATGAGGAAATACTTCAGCCACTCATGGTACCGGGTATATGTTTAGTTGGCACCCCTGACTATATGCTCCTAATATCTTTTATAGCATAAAAGTCTGTGATATACGACACTCTATTATAATAATGTATATCCAGCCTTTTATTGGAGTTAAAAATCAATGGTCAATTGCTCTGTAGAAAAGGTATCCCTCTAGATACAAATGGATTTGGTAAAAGAAAAAACATTCGTTCGGTGAATTTTCAAATCACAAATACAAAAACATATGGGAAAATTGGGTACAGACAAAATTTTTGCTTGTAATTCACTTTCAAATGGCTGGCAAGCCTAAAAGTGAGAGTTTTGTGGTGCTAAGAAGAAAAAGAGGCACCCATTTTAGATTTTCTATGTATTATTTACGCATTTTCAAATTATGACCAATTCGACTTACGACCTGCATTTGGGTCCCTAACTCTGTGTGTGTGTGTGTATATATATATATATATATATATATATATATATATATATATATATATATATATATATATATATATATATATATATATATATATAGTATATATATATATATGCAAGTAAATCACTGCAGGTGCTGATTCAGGTATATATGATAACCACAAGGAAGAAGAAAATATCAAGTCCTGCCGCTTTCTGCAATTCACATCTTCTAGGTGAGTATCAGAGAGTAATATAAATGATGCAGGAGGAGACACAGAGTGAGGGTGAGACCAGGTCCACAATGGCCAGGTATTAGGGTAATGACCCTACTAATCTTAGCCACACACAACGGTTTCTTTTCTTTAGAGTTATCAGTATATATATATATATATATATATATATATATATATATATATATATATATATATATATATATATATATATATATATATATATATATATATATATATATATATATATATATATATATATATATATATATATATATATATATATATATATATATATATATATATATATATAT